TTTTCATTTTATGATCATAAATTTCTTTTATCTGTGAGATTTATGAAGAAAACTGAGTCTGTGAGTTAGCCAGAGTCCCTGCATAGCCCTTCGTACTCAAGGGTAGACGCAACCATAATTGCAGAAGCAGAATTTCATCCATCGTTGGTATAACAATTCCATAAAATGCCACAGCATTTATCTAGGGCCATGGACAGGGCAAATCATGACAACTGTTCACCCTGGAAGGCTCAGTCTGGAGGTGTAAACATAGAAAATGAGTCCTGATCCATTCTCACATGACCATTCACAATGCTATCAAAAAAGCAGAAAAGCAAGGAATAGCAGAGCCCGTTCCTACGAGGCAGGGTCTGCAGGGTCAGGTACAACGTTTGCATTAATAATACTCCTTCATCAGCTGAAACTAAGTATGATTAAAACATACACAGTTTCATGGAAGCTGTTTCACAACTCAGATCTCAGTTATATTGGCCAATAGAAAATAGTTCCTGGGTGACATAAATTAACAGGGAACCATGTTTACTGCTGCCTTGCACCTAGGAGAAAGGACGTGGTCAGGGGTTGTAGAGCATTTCAGGTCTCATTCCTCAACCCCAAATATTTCATTTGCAGTTACCATAGTCATTGGTAAAGCTCTGCAGGCCGGGGGCAAAGAAATCCATTCACAAAGGCCGATTTCCCCGGACTCCTTTCATCACTGATGAAGAGAACCTGCTTCCCCCAGGTCAGATTGGGAGCAGAAGTCTAACAGCTGCTCTACATCACCACTGGGAAGGCCTCTCCCTCTTGCCTGCGATGATGGGGAGACTCCAGGGAGAGCTGATCTTTGCAAATGCAATCTTAAATTATCCATGTGGGCAGTTTCTGCCCCTTTCTGGTTGTTACTTAGCCTTGTGATTTGAAGGATCAGTTCTTCTGTTGAAGTAATGAACAGCTGCTAAAAAGGAAGAGCTAGACGCCAAAAACAGCACCTGCATTTAAGTTCCATACTGCACCTTTTTTGTAATCCACTCTAAATTCACCTGCCTTTCTCTCTCTCCCTTCTCCTTCTACCCCAACTTAATACCAGATTTTCAAATACAAATACTTACATGAGGCAGAGCGTCTTGGCATTTTTAGTCTATGAAATAAGTCCTTCCACGGGCAAGCATTTAAGTTTCAGTACCCAGGCTCTGAGTTTCATATATACTAAATGTATAAACAGCTGAAGTTAAAAGGAGTTGAGGTCACCATGCAGCAATGAAACAACTCTTTTCCTTCTGAAATATAGGTCTTGGTTTTCATTTTGGGATGCTAATTGTCCTCTAGTACCAATACTCTATAGCAAAAGGTGATTAGACACAGTCAATATTCACAAAAGTGCAGTACAGAGGGTTTTGTACATTTACAAAAACAAAATAAGAAAATTAGACAAGGAATATGTTATGGGCATGGTAGAAAAAATGGCTCAAGGAGCACTGCACACTTTTTTTTTTCTTTTAATTATATTTTGTTTTTAATAACATAGCCTTTCTAACTCCAAAATATATTTCACAGTGAAAAATCAAACAATGCACTGTTACACTCAGTGAATATTTACACACACTTACTTAGAAGCAAAACCACCTTTTGGTTTCTTCCCTCATGAAACAAATAGAAACGGTAGCCACTGTGAATGGTGGCCGTATGTGTCCAGCATCTTCAGCTTACATTCAACTCGAAGATTTCTGAGGGTAATTTGTGCGATGGCATCAGAATCTGGTTTTGATAGCTATATATTTTTGAAGTATGATCTTTCCAATAGCATTGAGAAAGTTAGAGTGACGAAGGAAAGTCACCATTGCAAGTGTGTCAGAACCTCCAATAAAAAATCATATGAGAAGGGGCTGGCTAGCAGAATATAGCGTATATTAAATATGTAGAGAGATATCATTTCTTCTAGTAAATTCAGTGCTGGTGAAAGGTACTGAGGACTTCAATCTGTTTGCTAAACATGAAACATGGGGACAGCAATGCCAGAAATTTCCGACCCACTGCCCTCTAACTTGCCTTACTCCCGAGCACTGGCTCTAGGAATTTAAGGGGCAAGTTAAAGTCTTCCTGACTACTCAAGCCTTGGCCTCTTTTGCTGAGACTGCCAAAAATTAATAGTAATAATAATGTACTGAGGCCAAATCCCAAGCTGAAGTGACGTGGCTTTGTTCTAACAATAGCAAAGGTGTTCTATAGTGATTTTGATTTAGCTGAGGATCTGGTCTGCAGTGTGTATGATTGGAGGGTGGTTTTGATGATGTGGACACTTGCCCACGAGGCACTGGACTGAGATCCACCAACTCAAATTGCAGAGTACTCTAGGACAGCCAGGAAAACAACAGAATCTAAAAGTAAGCTTAGAAAAAGCCTCAGAAAGAAAAAAAAAAAAACAAAAAAACCAACACTTTCTTGTTCTGGACTGAAACATAGCCCAAAAAGTCTCCAAGTAGATGTAATTATTTAACTTCTTTTTTTTCTCAAAAGTTCTAATTCATTAATGCTTGAAAATTGGCTATCAGCCATTCATGCAAAATATACTTTTTTTTTTTTAATAACACACTTACAGTATTATCAATATAATACCTTGTGAAAGCCCATACTACAGAAAATACAAAACTAAATGTTATCTGTTCATTTAATATTAGATAATTTTGATTAAAAAATGTCTAAGTATACATTTACCTGATAGAGCTGACCTTTCCCATCTCCCTCTGCTGTGACTTTCTGGTCTGCAAAGTGCTTCCTTGGGAAACTTTCTAAAATAGCTATTAGCAGCGTCTAACGAGAGGGGAAGATCCAATCCACCAGCTAAAAGTACTTCAGTGATTTTTGCACAGAGTCTGGAACACAGGGGGACAAATTCTGCTCACAAAGCAGTAAACTTGAAGAAAAAGTGCCTGGGCCATGTAACTCTCACTCAAGATACCAGAGTATTTTTAAGTGACTTAAACCTTTTTGCTGGTCCCCTGTGCAAGGGTAGATTTCACCTTACTGGGGTGTAAGTAAGTGTCTCATAAGAGCATGATCCTGTACCAATGTGAAGTCAATCTCAACTTTTTTATTTCAGATGAGCTCAGGAGCAACTCCTTTACTGTTCCTGAAATAACTTGCATTTACATTCATGTATACTGCTTCAACTGAGAGCAGATTATGTCCCATAAAGCACTATATCAGTGGTAAGCATTATAATTAATATTTCTTTCACAACTTTCTGTGACCCTTTTTCTTTTCCTTTTAAAAATAAGGAAACTAACACTATTTTAAAAAATCTATGCTTAAAATGACATTAAAAGTTTTTTAACAAAAACCAGTGAAATTAAAAGCTCAGCTGACACTGAAATTCTGAGTCTTTTGCTTTTTTTCAAGGTCAGGTCAACTAATACCAAAGAACAAACCTGAATTTTGAATATCCTGGTTACTATTAGTTTGAGTTCATAGTTTCATATTTAAAATGCCATTTTCATCTTTGTTTTTTAATATATGCACACATGTACACGCACATATACATATATATATATACTTAGATATATATATATATCAGTTCATAAATCCACAAAGAAGAGAGAGCTAGTACTGTCCTCAAAGTCTTTATGCACTGTATAAAGACCTTTAAGAATTGACATCATCAACATTTGACTGAAGTAGATATGTACCAGTCGTGGCTTTAACTACAAGGCAAAATTGGAAAGAATATTTTAGTTTCAAACAAACGCAGTAAGAACATCTGTGGTTAAGCCAACAGAACACCCGAAGAGAAGGAAAACTGCCAGGTGTGGAAGTCATTCAAAGTCTTTATCCTTTCCTTCCATAACATCTTATTATTCAGGTTAGATGCTCACCAAATGCCGATGACTGTTACCTTTCAAGGCGATCATGCCAGATCCCTTTTGTGCCTCTTGCTCTGGCAAAGAAGAGCCATAACACACAGATGTCAACCAGGTCACTAAGGCACCACACACAGTGTGACACCACTACCCAAAAGCATGCCATGTATTGGACACAGATGCAGAGGGTTCAAGATTATCTGGAGGGAAAGACTGTTCTGGAACTGACTTTTGCTGTTAAGGTAGGAATGAGAGGACAATTATTTTTATTATTCAAAGAATCCAATCGATCAATCTATCAGTCGGCTCATCAATCAGTCAATGCCAAAAATATAGATACATCTCAACTTCACGGCCCTTTTAGAAAATTCACAGCTTAGCTAGAACATAAAAACATTCTCTGAAATGTCCCTGGGTATGGAAAAAGTTAGCTGACCTCACCTCTCTTGCCTGGAGTCCCCCCGCTGTTTGATGGCAGCTATGCAGCTTCACATTGGCACAGCAGTTTCCTTAAGTCCACTGAGTACATCTGACTAAATCCAGCCATGATATTGATTTTTTAAAGTCTTTCCTAAACTGGCTGGTATGATTAACCCAAGCATGTCAACTCTACCCTAAGACTCGAAAGAGAAACACTAAGGAGATTCACATGCCAAAAGACTGGGACAGGCTAAGATATGTTTGAATAGTAAAAAACAGAACCAAATCCAAAAAAAAAAAAAACAAACAAAAAAACAACTTGAAAGATAACAATGATCATGTCCATTCGCAGATTAGTATCAATTTGGCAACCAAGGATCACAACTGCACAGCAATCACTTGTTACTTTTGACTGACAACGGATTACTTGCAGATGCTCTGAAATGTAAATCATTGAGTGGGTGGGCTTGGCCTGTCGTTTATCTTGTAAATATTTTTCCATCAATGGCCTTGATTACAGTTGTGTATTTACAGTGACTGTTAAAAAGATATATATATATATATATACACACTTTTGCTTTTTCACCTCTGCAAACATCAAGGATATTTTGGAGGCGAGGCGAGGCGAGGCGAGGCGAGGCGAGGAGAGGAGAGGAGAGGAGATGAAGGGGAGGGAAGAGGAGGGAAGGAAAAGGTAGGGAAGAGAAGGGAAGGGAAGGGACGGGAAGGGAAAATAAACCCTCCCCACCATGAAAACTATGATTTTATTTTCTTTTTAAAGGGATGGTTTTTTGGTTTGTTTGTTGATTGATTCATTTTCCTTAGCTGCTCATGTCGCTAGATTCTCCGCATTTATGCTGGACATCCGAATCTGAGAGCTGCTCTTGCTCAGAATGGAGAGTTGTGTCCCCCCGTTCACTCCGCTGCTCGCTAGAGAAGGATGACGGTGTTTGAAATCCACAGCAAAATACCGGTTGACTTTCCAGCTCCTCCATTTTCTCTTTATTTCTGATTGCACCTTTAGGGAGAAACTTCAAAAGGTCATTTTTTATGTACTTAGCTGCTCGAGGACATGCTGACAAATTATCAAGTTCAGAAAAACGAAAAACAAGAAAACCCAGTTGTTTAATGCTATTGTTAAACTCTTCGTATCAGTGAAATCTGAAGTGATTTTTACATGTTTAAAGAGGGCAAGACATGCCATGGGAACAACTGTCTGAAATCTGTGTCTAACCTCAGATAATATGGGAATTCATAACGAATCAGCCCCCAGATTCATGGAAGACCTATTCAACACTAACTTCAGCAGAGATATTGTGTTAGCCTCTTGGGAAAAAATATCCTATTTTCATCAGTGGCTACTGCCAAGCACATAAAAAGGAGCCAAGGAAACCAGCGCTCACAAGATTCTGAATAGTGATGGAATAACCTATTCACAAAGGTAGACTGTCTTTTGCCAGGAATTGCTTTGAATACTGCAAGTAAAATCCTAGTGCTTTCAGTAGATGGAGACCATCTTCAGGTAATGCCTGAATCTCTCCCACATGTATCAAAATTCGTTGATTCACTGTACTTGCATGTCTTGCTCCACATTTTTGGAGCTCTCTCTGTTCAACCATTCCTCAGGACCTACAAGCTCAAATACAAACACATTCATGGAAGCTCTTCCTTTTGACTTCATTCGGTTTTGAAGAAGGCTCTGGGAGAAACATGCTAGATGGAAAAATGCCTGTCATCAGCAGATGCATGTCCACTGAAAACTTTACCTTTTCCTTTCAGATCTCTTCTAAGTAGATGCCAGCTCTTGCATGCATATATAGCTATAAAATCCTTCTTTTCCTTGAGCTTTTTATATAGGCAGGATAAATCATCCACGGTAAAACAATGGATGGTCAGAGGTCCAGTTAGAAAAAGAAGAAGAATTCTACAGCTTTGCTACTTTTCATGCATCACTTGACAGGCATATGCACATGTGTGGACATAGATATGTAAGATTGTAAGGACATAACAAAAGAAAGTTCAGATTAGCCCAGCCTATTTTCCCTTACTGACAGTAGACAGCACTGTAGACATATTTCTGAGTAAAAGAGCTAAGAACAGGCAAACACGCAGTGATAGTCCCCCAATAATTGCCTGTAATAAACACTGTATCAAAAGTGCTCTGCTTGTCTTTAGTAGTCATTGGTAGATTTTTCTGGATTAATACAGTTGTCAGAATGGATCAGCATAGGCAAAAATGCTAAACAAGGATTCATATGGATCCTAACCACTCGGAGGAAACTAGAAAATTTGCATTCTCCTTCTAATAGCTCTAAATGTCCATTTTAATTAGTGTATAAATAGGTGTAGATTAGATAAAGGCATGGAGCTATGTTACCTCTGTCAGAAGAAAATAGCGTTTGGATCTATGACAGGGTAATACACCGAAGGTCAACCCTTTCTCTCTCTAGGTAAGTAATTTATAAACAAATGGGAGAGCAATACCAAGGTAGTAGTCTGAACAGGTATAGACAAAAGTCATTCTCAATTTTTTATTTCTTTTTGGAGGGATGGTGGTGGTGGTAAAATGGTCTTAATTCCTCTGGCCATGTTAGCTTGGCTAAGACCTGAGAGAAGGGCTTACAGGAACTTTGATTCACCGCGTAGGCTATCTTGGAAGGTACTTATCTCCACATTAGCTTTAGGCAAGACCTTCTGGTTATTCTTTTAATACTTACAGGAAGATAACAGATGAAACAACAGTTCTAGGTGGAAGAAGTGGATATCCAGTAACACCAGCTGGTGGAGTACGAGTGCAGCCACCAACTCCAGCAAAGAGTGATCCAGAACTCACCTTCTGAGCTACATGGGACTATGTCATGAAGACATCTTACCTTAACAGTCACCTGTGAGGCACTCTGACTAAGCTCACCAGCAAAGATGACCCAAAAGTTTACTTGATCACCTTGGGTAAGTTTTTATTTTATTTATTGATATATTTATCTATCTATTTATTCATCTATTTATTTGAGAAGCAACCACTTGGATAAATGAGCTAAGCTCCTACTGAAGTAGGGATCATCTATTGCATTCTGTGTGCAAACAAGCATGGAATTCTATTGCACTAAAATTGGTAATAATAAATGATCTCAATCTCCTTGAAAAGGAAAAAAGAAGGTGATTTTAGGAAAAGTCTTTTCCTATTAGACTGTGTAAGAAGTGATTCAATGGAAAAGAAAATGAACGAACTGTATATATTGCCTTCAAGGCAACGCTGGGAAAGGCGTCATTTTCCACTAACTCAGAATATCTTCATCTCAGAAATTCAACCCAGTGAATGCAGTCAGGGGAACAACAATTTGTGGACCAGAACAGGTAAATCAGAAGTTCAGCTTGATTAGCACTTCCACATAAACAGACTCGAGCACACACATACAAACACCTATAGAAAAAGTTTTACAGGAAACAATTTCAGGCTTTCAAAAATGAAGAGATGGAAAACTCTTTACAAATGCTAATTTATACTGTACTCCAATTATATAGTGTATTCCTGAGCTTAACAGTTGGGTTCAATAGGTAGGCAAAGATATAGCACAGTACTGTTGCACAAAGGAGAAATTTTTATATCTCTATCCAAGATGACAAATTCTTCTTTGTCAGACTATTCAGGACACTGCTTACAATTGTCATGACAAAGTAATCAATATCATATAATGTGATATGATGTGATATGTGATAGGATATGACAATCCTTTTCCCCATTAACATCTCTAAAAGTATAATACTCTATATACTATATACTGTAAAATGAGATCAGCGAACATAAACTAGTGTCACCCCACTGAATGAAAACAAGACAGAGTGTTTGGGGTATGGTTCATCCTCTCTTTTTTAAAATATTCATAAATTAGAAGCTTAAATGTGGAGCTAGTCCCTTTAGAGTCAGTTTAACACACACCTCTGAAAGATAATTCATTTCACCTGTCTTAAATGCCCACCACAGGGTGAGATAAAGCACCTTCTAGAAGTTATTCTTTCTCTATATAGACAACTAAGGGAGCCCAGTATGGTTACCCCACCCTTAGATGTTGAATATTTCAACATCTAAGTACAGATGGAAGCCATTCTACAACTTTAATCTTTCCTCTGCTTCTGTTATTTAGCAGAACTGTATTAAAGACTACAGTGATCTCAATTTCCAAAGGCCTAATTGGACAATTATCAAAACTGCTCTTAAATGCAAGACCAAAGCTACAGCAACCAGAAGGTGACACTCATAAGTGTGGCTGTCAGAAACATAATTCATAGTTATTTACAGTGACAACCCCGATATTCAAAAAAGTGTTCTTTAGAAATATATGAAGCTACAAAATGTAAAGAAATGACAAAAAAAAAAAAAGTAGAGCACAACAATGAAGATCCCTATTAAATTTTTGCTGTGTCTTTCAGAGACAAAAATTTCCTTATGTTATGGAGAAGCCAGGCACCAAAATAGCATGGCTTATCCAACTAGTTCTAGTAAAACCTCATAAGCAACCACTCAAGCAATGATGCTATCCTGTACTTGCAGAGAGGGGTTTGTCAAGTGACATAAAGTGCCCAATCTTCATCTCATGCAAAGAGGTCCAAGTGACTTAATGATGCTGGCCAGAGTGGTTGGGGTCCATTCCTCATTGCCCTAGACATGAAGTAAGATTCCTAAATTAGAAACCTACTTGCTCATGGTTATTTCTGCAGTCAACAGAAAGGTGCAAGCACCTTCAGAGAGTGTTTCAGCCCCAGGTTAGATGTGAGCCACCTCTTGAAGGTGTTTATCTCTCTGTTGAATCCAGCAGGAGTCCTGGGAAACCAGTCATTTAACTGCCTCTGTTAGGGAGCATTAATCTGGGCCATCACCTCTGGCAAGAACAACGCTTTGCTTAATGAAGAAATTGAACTTCCTTTTTCTTTTGCTGAGACGCTGAGGTTGGGATGAAGGTATCAGGGAATGGGGTAGATGTTGAGTTACAGATAAGGATTAGAATGACAGTTAGTCCCATAAGGAAATATGTTGGGGGTGGTGAGGGTGGGAGAGGTCAAATATTAAAAATCTTACCTCCCCATTCAAGAAACAATAGAGAACAGCAACAACAAAACCCTAGATAAACAGGAGAGAAAAAACTGTAATTCATTTCCTTCAGAAAATGTCAGAAAATAGCTGGAGTTTAAAAAAAACAGAAACAAAAACAAAATCCTAGTCTACAAAGCATGTGCACATGTGAATAAACACACAGTCTGAGAACTATGCATGCAAAGTGGTCATAATGAATGCAGACTTATTTTTAACAAAAGCAGAATTCACTGTATAATCACCTGGAAAGATCCCAGTCCCAATTCAAACACTAGTCTCTCCCGCTTACTGACATTTTCAGGAGAAAAAGCAAACACCGTGTAGTGAATTCCAAACAAGGGGATAAGCAGTAGCGTAGAGCGAGCCAGTCTCCTGTTGTAACAGAGTGAGAGAACTTTAGTGCAGCCTTGTAATAAACAACCTGAGCTTTAATTAAAGAAGAAAATGAAGCAAATAAATATTTTCTTGCCTCCCTTTTTGTAAATACATACGCTATATAATTATGCATATAAATTTCCAACTTTTTCATTTGTTCCCAAATAATGATTTTGCACACACTAGTTTTCATCCACTTCTTCACACTGGTACAGTAATAGTACGAAGCAGCATACTAATAATGCTTAATACTCTGTATCGTTGTTTTGGTTTACGTTATTATAAGCCAGGATTTTTTCTACAGTGCCAGACATGAGGAAGGTAATCTTGGTATGGGATTCAGACTGCTACCAGAACACGATAGTAACCCTCTCACCTAATTGCTTAGTCTCAGTGGAGTGTTTGGACCCACTTTTTTGGTGAGTTTATTTCTGTATTGACAAAAAAACCCAGAACAACAACAAAAATAAGGCCAAAAATTCACATGTTGTTCAACTCATGATTATTCCTCGAGGTCTTGATTTTAGTTTCACTTATACAGTCGGAAACTTCAATGTAATTCCATTGTGTAACTAATTTCCATTGCATCAGAATAAAGAGGTTTGAAAGAAATGAGATCCCATTGGTCTAGACAAAAGGCCTGGAAATAAACATGCATACCTTTAAACAGTTATCCGAATATGGACGAAATTCAGCAAATGTAGGGATCTAACACAGGACTTACACATCAGCTTTGGTCAGTGTCATTTGCTGACTGGGTGGCAGAAAGGACCCAAGATAAAGGAACCGTTGAATGAGGTGAGTGCTTTATTAAAACAAAGTGGCCTAAAGTAACTTTTTGGTCATTTTCAAAGGGCAGCAAAAAATGACTGATTCCCTTCAGCTAAGTTAAGGAGATAGATGGAGGGCAGAGAAAGCTAATAAGCCGTAAAGACTTCTGGAAGAGCTCCCTACTATTTCAATTTTAAATTTTCAGTCTGCCTATATATGATATGTTGCATATGGATTTGAATTTGCTCATCACATACGCCACCGTTAAGTCATTGAAAGCGAAGATTTAATTAATACACCTCCAAGAAGTCTATGAGCATATCCAACATTAAACTAGAAATGGGACATTAGTTCATTGTTAGTGACCCTCAGTTATGTTTTGCACACTGATGGTGATAAACACACAACGACCCTTTCTCTTAGATGGTACTAAAAACCATATGATTCATTTGTGAGATGCACACCAAGACAATAATCTCAAGTCACAAACCAGAGGATGTAATTTTTGTCAATTATGAAGTTAGACATTAACCAAAAGGTTTTTTTTCTTTATTTTTTTCTTTTTTTTTTTTTTTTTTTTAACAAGAGAGAGAGGAAAAACTTGGAATAGGTTGACAAGGAGCATACAGACTCTCCAACTTTGGTGATCTCTAAAAAAAGGAAGTACTATAGGACTGATCCAAAGCAATGGATTAAAAGACCTTTCAAGATCTCTTCTAGTCCTTTTTCTCTGTGGACATGTAATTAGACGAATGAACAAGAACAGAAACATTGTGGAAAGGATTATAAAACAATATTATCTCCATAAACCAAAAAGTATGCAAAGCATATACCAGTGTCTTAAACTAGCCGTGTATTGCAAAGAAATCAAATGAGGTAGTAAACTGTACAAAGAAATATAAATTCTCAAAGTCAGTGACCCTGTGTGTACAGATTTAACAAAAAAAAAAGTGTATTTCACCTCAGTCCTAAGGAATTAGCTTTGAGAAAAATGCAGAGGAAGGCTTTTTCTACAGCCAGTTTTCTGACATTAATCATATCTGATTATTCATACAATTAGTTTGCAGGATCTTTAAACACGATGTCATCCTCAGCTTATTTGAGATATTGTCTTCAGTATTGTCATAAAAGTCATCAAGAAAATACAGAAAAGTAAGAAATAGCACATGCTGAAAATTATAGATGATTAAGATCTGTAAAGAGGAAAAAGATCTTGCTAAGAATGGTAAGAATAACCTTAGATGTTTTTAAGGGTTGTCTGGATGATGATGAATTGTGTTTTTTCAAGAACTTTAGGAAGAAAGAGGACTTAAAGCAGCAGCTGTGAGACAAGAAAGATTATGTGCAATGGTGAAACGAAGATGTGAAAGCTAAAAATGCAATAAAATTCTCAGCGATGTAACAGCCACAGATACCCATCCTCTTTTCTTTGTGCGTTCTCTGGGACACACAAGGATTCTTTGTGCGTTCTCTGGGACACACAAGGAAGTCGGGGACAAATCCAAGAGCTCTGAGGACAATAATCACTCTCCTGGCCTTAAAAAGACTATTTAGAAGAGAGATGTTCTCCAAGAGGTGTAGCAAAAAACATATTTACATTCCATCAGGGAGACAAATGTCTCAAGGTTACTTTAAAAAAGCAAGCTGTTTTTCAACTTTTATTGAAGGTGACATTCAATTGTTCTCCTGTTGCTTTCCTCTAAAATGACTTAAAAATGAGATTCTCTCCAATAGAATGACTATGAATGTGAATCTTCCAGAAAATATTACTCCAAAAAGACGCAGATAGTGTCTTAGAAAAAAAGAAAGGATGGGAGGAGGAGTAGACGAG